ACTTTGATGTTGATGGTCTATGATAAGGTCTATGATGAAGCTCATTCAACATACATCAAATCCAAGTGCTCATGGGTAATTAACTCCGCCTCGGAAGAAGTGGGTGTGGGCAGCTACCCTTTCAAAAACTACAAAATACGTGAGCAAAACTAAAAGCAAAAATAAAATAAAAATTACCATGAATTCTAGCTATATATCTTATGGTCATTTTCTGAAAATTGCAACCCATTGCGAGTGGCCGTTTTGACAACACGGTAGAATAAAAATTGAAATATTTGAAAATCCTGGCAAGCGTCGTGAACGCGAGCGTGACCTCCAAATTTAACCCGGTGTTCTAAATCCAGTAAAGTTTGCTGCGTTTTCCCCGCGTTGGAATGGACCGTACGATTTTGAAAATGCCACTCAAATCAAGTAGGGGATGACAGCTATAGAATGAGAGGTGATAGGTGAGAATCGGCCGAAAATTGGCGAAACGGCAGTAAAAACAAAAGTTAAACGGCAATTTTCGTATCGACTTAGAAATTTCTGGCATATCTGTCATTCATAATTTGAAAAAATATATATTTTAATAGACAAAAATCTAGGTTTTGTGAGTGTGACATAAATTTAAAGAGTGCGACAAGCCCATTTTACAGCAATTCCAGGCACTGATTTGACGCTGAAGTAGTGCTAGATGTTGATAACTTATAGGTTACACACTTTGTTTTCAAATTTATATAAGTTGTAACTAGAAATATAAACATCGGCTACAAATCAGAGGAATGATTGACAGATATTGCCCACAATGTTTTCTATTTTTGCTACAAAGTCAGGTACACATATACTTTGAGGCGCGTCTGTCTTTCATTCACTTTTGGTCGGTCATCGTGTCGACTGCGTGTCTACAAATCGGCATTTGTCCAAGTTGTTTTAATAAGCACCACGATGGAAAAGCAAGGAGTCAAAAAACCAGTTGAAGTGAGAACAAGAGTTGTCGATTTGTATTTTCGTGGACTGTCATTTGCTGAGATTGGAGATCGAAATGGTGTTTCAAAGCAGACAGCTTGAATTTTAGAATATCGTCAAATGGTTTGTTACCACCGAGAGTATCCTGCGCGGAAACTGACAACGTTATAGACTATGTCGAATATTATAAAACATTGCGACCGCACATTTACTTGTGTGCGGGCTACGGCGGCAACCCTCCCCGGACGTGTGATCGTGTGTTGCCAGTGATAAGCTTTTTAAAGCGATTATTTGGTGGCACATCAACCTTTTGGTTCTCATCGTCGAGAACTAATCGAATAACACCCCCTTCTATGTATTCAATTTCATTATTGATATAGTGGATGAAGTCTTCATAGGACATTTGTTGCAGGCGTGATACGTATACTTCGATAGTAGGAATAATGCACTTTGATCAATAATTCTGTCATGATCAGTCGGTCAGCTGGTTCTGTAAAATAACGTTCTTTATAGTGCCACCACTTTATGCGCCCCTCTCACTGAAATAACATGTGACGCAAATTGAAGTACGAAACTAAGTCGAGAGCCTCGATAGTTTATTGGAGGAGAAATTCAAAACTAATGTACAGCCACTTTTATGGGCGGAGCTTTCTTCCGGCGCGC